ATAACAAAGTGAATCAGTTATACATATACATATGTTCCCATATCTCTTCCCTCTTGTGTCTCCCTGCCTCCCACTCTCCCTATCCCACCTCTCCAGGCGGTCACAAAGCAGCGAGCTGATCTCCCTGTGCTATGCGGCTGCTTCCCACTAGCTATCTACCTTACGTTTGGTAGTGTATATATGTCCATGCCACTCTCTCACTTTGTCACAGCTTACCCTTCCCCCTCCCCATATCCTCAAGTCCATTCTCTAGTAGGTCTGTGTCTTTATTCCTGTCTTACCCCTAGGTTCTTCATGACATTTTTTTTCCTTAAATTCCATATATATGTGTTAGCATACGGTATTTGTCTTTCTCTTTCTGACTCACTTCACTCTGTATGACAGACTCTAGGTCTATCCATTACATTACAAATAGCTCAATTTCGTCATACAATGGAATATTATTCAGCCATAAAAAGGAATGAAATTCTGATAGATGATACATATGAACCTTGACTCACTTCACTCTGTATGACAGACTCTAGGTCTATCCACCTCATTACAAATAGCTCAATTTCGTCATACAATGGAATATTATTCAGCCATAAAAAGGAATGAAATTCTGATAGATGATACATCATGGATGAACCTTGCATGCATTACTAAATGAAAATGCCAGAATGCTAAATGAAATAAGCCAGACACAAATGGACAAACACGGTCTAATTCCACTTTATGAGGTACCTAGAATAGCCTAATTTCTCAAGGCAGAAGGTGGAATAAAGGTTACCAGGAGCAGGGGGAGGAGAAATAAGGAGTTATTATTTAACTGGTAGAGTTTCTGTTTCAGATGATGAGAAAGTTCTGGAAATAAACAGTGGTGATGGTTACACAACATTGTGAATGTACTTAATGCCAATGAATTGTACACTTAAAGTGATAACTTTTATGTTATGGATATGTTACCACAACAGAAACAAAGGATGAATTATAATGACTACAGACATCAAAGAAATTACAGAAAAGAGACAAAAAGTTCCTTTGTTTGAATCTTCTAGTACGCATGCTACCCCTCCCCTAACTCATTAATTGAATACTTCAGCTAAAGTAGCAGGATGACAATTGCCAACTGAATTTGAATCTGAACAGCTGGACAGCAACTTAAACTGACCTCCCATCCAATCATATGACAGATTCAAGACAACATCCACGTAATGGGGAGCACCTTATATCATTTGAAAAGTTATATCTTAGGTTAAGCCAAAATCTCATCATTTAACTCCACCTATTGGCCCGGTATGAGATAATAGAAAATATATATTAATAGATATTGGTCTCTGCCCCTGGTTCCTGGCACAGAGCTCCAGAAACACTTGCAAATTCTTAAGTGATAAGAGTACTAGGAGTACCTTGTATTCTAATATTTGGTCTTTGACCTGGCCCCTCACACAGGGTTCCTGAAGGCCTTGTAAATTCCTGGGTGACAGGAGTGTCTTTTGCTCTAATGAGGCGACTCTGGGTGGGCTCCTGGATGAGGGCTGCTCCCCGGAAGGACAAAGTCCTGATTAGAAGCTTGGAATGTTCAGCATCCGCCACCCCTGCCCCCATTCTCCAGAGAGAGGAGGGGCCAGAAACAGAGTGAATAATCGATGACACCTACGTGAGGGAGCCTCCATGAGATCCCAGCAGTGCGGTCTGGAGAGCTTCAGGTGGGTGAACACGTCCACACCAGGAAGGTGACGCACCCCAACTCCACAGGGACAGAAGCTCCTGCGCTCAGGACCCCCCGGACCTCACCCTATGCATCTCTTCATCTGGCTGTGCATCTGTAGCCCTTATCACACCCTTTAATAAACTGGTAAACCTAACTGCTTCCCTGAGTTCTGTGACCTGCTCTAGCAAATTAATCAAACCTGAGGAGGGGGTCACGAGAACCTCCGATTTCTTGTGGATAACCTGGAGACAGAAATAAGACAGAAGCTGGGGGTGACTTGGGGACCGACTACTTGCCGTTGGCATATGAAGTGTGGTGGCGAGCAGGCTTGTGGGACCGAGCCCTTAACCTGTGGAGCTGACACCATCTCCAGGTAGACAGTATCAGAACTGAGTTAAAATGTGGGACACCCAGCTGGTGTCATGAAGAACTGCCTGGAGGGGAAAAGCCCACACACATTTGGTGACCAGAAGTGAAGAGTTCTGTGTAAATATAAAGGAGACACAGGAGAGAAACGGTAGGGAAGAACTGGGTCCTTCACTACATAAGAAGGAAAAATCTGTAGGTTTTGTCCTTTACACCCTAGTTCTCCCCATGAAGCTACACAGAATTAACCTAATTCTTCTTCAACAAAACAAGCTCTCACTGTATTTAAAGCTTTTGCATCTTACAGTCTTTTCCCCTAAGCTAGATAGCCCCAGTTCTTTCAGGCATTTTTATATGATTTGTTTCCATAGCTTTACCCATTTTGATAACCTCCCCTGAATGTTTTCTAATTTAAAATTCTTGACCCAAACTGAATATAATCTATATGTGACCTTTATCTGAGTATTCTGATTAATACACCTTGATGCTGTTACGTTTTTGGCATCTACAACATACAATTGCCTTATTAATAGAAACTTCTATTTTGGGCTTCACATCACTACTGTCTGTGAGGAAAAATATTTTATTTACAAGTAATAATTATCCATAGTAGAGAAATTAGAAAAACAAATAAAGGAATAGAAAAATATTTTTAAATAAAATTAATTTTATAAAGATACTTTTTTAAAACAAAATGGGCTACTTGACCTATGATTTTGTCATGTGCCTTTTACTTAATTCTCACTCAACAATTTATCATGGATACTTTCAAATGACAATAAATTCATATCTGCATCCCATTCTTAATAGGTAAAGAGCAGATATTTTTTTTTTGGTATTTGCCTAGTCATGACCCATTTTTAAAACAGCTTGATTGAGGTGTAATTAATCACCACCGTCAATTTTAGAACATTTTCATCACCTCAAAAAGAACCCTGTACCCTTTAGTTATTGCCCCCATATCTCCAACTCCAGTTCTACACAACCACTAATCTACTTTCTATCTCTATGGATTTTCTGATTGTGAACATAAGAACAGACTCAAATATATGGCCTTTTGTGTCTGGCTTGTTTCACTTAGCACAATGTTTTCAAGTTTCCTCCATAAGGTAGCATGTGTGCATCAGTATGTCATTCCTTTTTAAAGCTGAATAATATTCCATTGCATGGATATACCACCTTTTGTTTACCCATTCATCTATTGATGGATCCATTCATCTGTTTCCACCTTTTGGCTATTATGAATAATCCTGCTGTAAACATTCCTGTACAAGTTCTTATGTGGAGATATGCTTTCATTTCTCATGTGTATATATACTTAGGAATAAAATTGCTAGCATATATGGTAACACTATGTTTACTCATTTGAGGAACCAATAGTTTTCCAAAGTGGCTGCACCATTTTAACTCCCCTACCAATAGTGTATGAGGGTTCCAATTTCTCCATATCCTCAACAATTTTTATTATTTGACTTTTTGGACCTAGCCATCCAAGTGGGTATGAAGCTGTATCTCACTGTGGTTTTGATTTGCATTTCCCTGAATGACTAAGAATGTCAGGCATCTATTCACACACTTATGGGCCATTTGTATATCTCTGGAGGAATGTCTATTCTGGTCCTTCGCCCATTTATTAATTGGGTTACTCATCTTTTTATTATTGAGTTTTGGGTTCTCTACGTATTCAGATATAAGGGCCTGATCAGATATATGACTTGAAATGTTTTCTCCCATTCAGTGAAATGACTTTTCACTGTCTTGATGAAGTTCCTTGAAGCAAAAAAAGTTGTTACTTTTGATGAATTCCAATTTGTCTATTCTTTCTTTTGTTGATCATGCTTTTGGCATCATATCTAAGAATCTTCATGATTTACTCCTATGTTTTCTTATAAGAGTTTTATAATTTTGCCCTTACATTTAAATCTTTGATCCATTTTGAGTTAATTTTTGCATATGATGTAGTATGGGTCCAACTTTATTCTTTTGCATGTGGCTATCCAGTTGTCCCAACATCATTGTTGAAATCTTTCCCCACTGAAAGGTCTTGGCACCATTGTCAAAAACCAGCTGACCACAGATGTATGGGATGACCCATTTTTAAATCTTGATTCTGTTGTACCAATACATTAGCTATCCATCCCAACTGACAATTTAACAAACATGCTTCTTTTGTCTTCTTCATCCCAGTTGCTAACAGAAATGAGAACAGGCTCAGAAGCAGAGCCCTGCAACAATTCAGTGTCCTTCTTTTTTGGCTTACACTAAAACATTAGTCAGCACTCCTGGGAATGATCTGTCAACCAGTTATAAACTCACTTAAATCTACTATCATCTGGTCATCATTTCCCCACTATGTCCACAAGAGCATCACCAGGTACTGTGTAAAATACTGTACTGAAATCAAGATAATGTCACCCTAATAAGAAACTAACCATGCAGAGGTAAAAGAGAATGCTCATATTCTGTTTAATAATCCTTTCTATAATTTTTATAAGAAACTAACAGATCTGTAGTTTTTGGAATTACTGTAATCTCTTTTCTACTTTATACTTTTGTCATTTCTGTTTTCAACAATATATACAAAATTTTATTTATCTCCATGTGTTAATACTTAAATTTCTAGTTTATTACCCTGTCTCTGTTTATTGGTACATAGACATCTAAGACCTTTAAATAGTATTCCTGATTCTATAACAGTAATTAAAAAAAAATATTTTAACTCCTTTAATCCTCTCAACAACCCTATGTTCTAAGTGTTTCACATTTATTAATTCACTTAATCCTACATAACAGCAATTTTAATTCTAATCTTAATCCCTGTCCAAGATTTTTTGTCCCAGTTTTTTTCATTTAAACACTGGAAATATATTTGCACCTATTATATCACCTACAAGTTGATGAATTCAATTATGAAAATTACATTTTAAAACTGTGATACTCCAACAGAAAATATTAACATTTTATTCAAAATATGGGTGATAAATCTAAATTTTTTTGACTAGACAGTTGATGACGGGAAAAAATACACAGTAGCATTTAGAGCCTAGTGGAAAATAAAATACCTTAGTAAATACATACAATCACTGAACTCACTACTTGCTTTTTTTTTTTTTTGGTTAGTTTCTGCTTTATAACAAAGTGAATCAGCTTTATTACTTGCTTTTAATATTAAGTATTAAACATTACTAGAAGCAGTCAGAAAGTCAGTGGCCCTTGGAAATACGTATTATTTAAATTCTTTTGTCCTTTAGTCTCACCTGAAAAGTGCATATACCAGGGTAGCAATCAAAGCGAAACTGACCACAACTGCCACAAGTACTTGGTCACTTACTCCTTCTATGACTGAATCATCATCCAGTTTCAAACTGTGAACTTCACCTTGATATTTGGCCATTCCAGGTCTAAAAGAAAAAGAGATAAGATGAAAATTAAAAATGACACAGTGAAAATGAAATATATTAATAAAAACGACATAAACATAGCTGACTTCTGATACATGTATTTTTTTGTAGCACCCACTTGAGGTAGGTTGCATTAAGTACATCTCCAGTGGGGAATGGCCCATTAATGAGTTCTTTAAAACCATTAAAGAAGAAAAGACATTTCTCATGCCCAATTGCTCTTTTCTTATTCCTGAACACCAAATAAATTCTCCACATGGATCACATCCCTCTTCCCCCTCATGGCACTGAATGTGCGTCATGGAATGTACCATGTACGGATGCGGAAGGAAATATATTGTCTTCTTCTGTAAATATTCCTGTATTACCTGGCATACTGCCCTGTACACAGAAGGACCTAATAAATATATGTTTAGATAGGAGTAACTTACCTTACTTATGGTGTTAGTAATTTGAAAAGTAAAAGACATGAAGGCTATAGAACATTTATAGCTATACTGAGACTACTTGAATTAATGAAAATTCTGTTGCTTGGAAAACGATTAGCCTCACTTGGGACTAAGCTCAGTTTATGGTTCAGAATTCTGGGAAATGCCAGGAATATGGAATCACCCTGAGGCTGCATTTCCTTACGAAGAGAAAAGGGAGGATATGAAACTCTCCCTCCCATACACTAAACTAGAGGAAAATGGTAATACCCCATTTCTATAGATATGAGGGGAGATGGTCCAACCACATCAGAGTCCAAATATCACAGGTTATTCCTACTTTTTTCTGATGGCAAACACTAAAGTTACTTAAAATCTTGTAAGACACCTAAAGGGAAATAAAGGCAATAAAATTCAATTAAATATACATGACTAATCATAATTAACCTGTATTTATGTAATGTCCTGCACTGAAAACAGTTTTATTCAATATCATCATTAATCAGGTGAGTTTCTGTTAAAAGGAAACTTTGAGTGTGAAAGTCTAACACCTTTGAAAAGAACCTGAACTGGTTGCTAGTAAGAAAATTACCTCTCATGGAAGGAACTTAAGCAAACAAACAGATCAAAGGTGGCTTTCATCAGCTTTACACATGGTAATGGCCTGATGTATCAGGAACTTTCTAATGACAGGTTTCAAGTATCCTTCATGAAAGCACACACCAGAAACTCAGAGAAGGAGCTCTAACCTCAGTATTTTATTCAAAAGAAGAGTCAAATGAACTGCCAAATGAAACTGAAGAAAAAAGCCTCAAGTAATCTTGGGGTGGGCCATGTAGTCAATCTAGATTTTTATGTTGTCAGGTTTCCTCTTTTTAAATTGAAGATGCTGTGGCTGTCAGAAGTCCTGTCAGTGAGAACTACTTGCATCTGCTCAGAGATCAGCAAAATGTTATCCTGTGTGGAGAGTCCCAGCCTCCAATTACTGAATCCAGTTCAGAGGATTTTCTCCTAGCTGTACATTTAGGGAGTTCACTACTTTGTACTATTTCTTTCTTTAATGGGTTACATTTGTTTCACTACTTTGTACTATTTCTTTTTTTAATGGGTTACATTTGTTTCTATGTCCTTCCAAGTGTAATCAGTGATCATGTGACTAAATTCTACTCTATACATTTTATATATATATATATTCTTATATCACTGAATCACTTTGCTGTACACCTGAAACACAATATTGTAAATCAACTATAGTTCAATAAAAAAATAAAATAATCAAAATTATATATATATATATATATATATATATATATATATATTCTACTGTATAAAGACATACTTCTACCAATTACACCCTTCAGATGCTGCTTCATTCACATATCCAAGAGCTCAGAGATCCAGGATACTTTAAGTATTGCAGGACCATGTAATGTTATTTGCATCATTTTATAGCAAAAGTTCCCAATGTTGTTGAAATGAAGAGTTACTTTTTATTGCCACAAATTCTAGTGTCACTGAAGGAGGTGCTTGAGCTGAGAGAGGGTAGGAAGGGAGGAGACTGCTGGTAAGTCTCCGAGAGGAACAGAAAGGTCAGCTGCACTTCCCTGCCACGTGGAAATCCCAGCCCTCACATGGATAACTACTAATGGTGTCTGACCAACCTGTCGGGGCTTCAGTAGTTAACTTCCGCCGGTAGTTTTTCTTATCACAGGAGTCCAAAAAGGAACTGCAGGCGCTGCTGGCTCAAAAATGAGGTATTATGCCACCACCTCAGTTTGGAAAGAAGCCAATCTAAGAATACAGGGAATAAACAATAAAAAGAAATAAAATTTTCTACTTGAGGAGTTGACCTTATACCCCAATCTTGAAAATGAATTCCAATGTCAACCTGAACTTCAGTCCTCCAACCTCTGCTCACCTGGAACAAATCAATGCTGCTGATTTGGACCAAGGTCACAGGCTCTCAGCACAAGCCCAAGCCCTGCTGCATGGCATGCAGGCCCCGGAGTTTAGCTCCAATTCTGCTACCATAACTGGGACCCCGCTTAATCTCTTAGGACCCCTCATTTCCTGCAAAATATGAAAGCTGGATCTGAAGATTTCTTAAGTTCCCTCCACCACTACATTTCTCTGATTCAGAGTTTTCTGGAATTGAAAAAAAAAAAAAAAAGGCAGGAAAGCTGAATAACCAAAGGTTAAAATGGTTACAAGTGGGGAGCAGGCCTGGGAGAGCCAGATTCTCACCTTTCCCAGGATACAGTTCTATAGTCTGAATTCTTTTCAAGAATACATTACTTTAGCAATAAAAATAGAAGCCAGTGTCTGCTTCCTTCCTTCAGAGATGAAAATTAGACTTCAGTGCTCAAAGATTTAAGACGTCTCTCCCCAGTACCATTCTTACAGAGCACCCTAGACCCTCCCAGTTTCCTGATGGTGCCCTCTGAAGACCTCAGTGACTGGCACAGGGAGGCGCCCGCGCTGGCTACCTCTTACCCCGCTGAGCAGCGCACAGGGGATTTTACATGTTGCAGGGGCCTTGCAATAAATGCTGCTCGCTTGAAACCCCAAAGCAAGGTTATTAAATTTACAAAACATGGCATCTAATCTATTTCATAGGGTCCTATCAAATGAAAACAAGTTACTAGTACTCTGTTGTTAACTATTTGAGATTTACAGAAACAAAACACCATAGATCTTGGAAACGGTGTTGATAATTGATAGAAAAATTGATAATTAAGAGAAGGGGGAGTGATTTCCAGCACTGGCTTTGTTATTGCTTAGCTGGCTAAGTCTTACTGAGTAGCTTACTATACTGAAGAAGCATAAGCTGTGCAGTCAGACAACTGTGTACTTGTGCAAAATCTGGGTCTCAGCTTCCTCATGTGTAAAATACATAAAATTAACTTGAACTATATCAAGCAACCACTTTTTTGGGCAAAAAAACCACAAAACCACTCTAGTTTTGTGGAGTTCATGATATAACAAAGGTAGAGCACTTACATATTGCTTGGTACATCATACAGGCTCTCAATTAACGGAAGCTATAATATTTTGATTACTATTATTAACAACCCTCAAGGAATCTGCAGAACCATGATAAGACGTGGCCATGCCTTCCTTAAAACTACACTAAGTAGCATCTCAAGCTCGCTTTGATCTAAGCTCTAAGTATGTATTCCCTGGGAAACTGGATAAACTTGGCACACTATGGTGAAGGACACTCCCCTGTTTACTTGAATGTGATAAACAGCTGTAGATGAGAATTAGCCTCCAACTAACTGGAGTAAGGAGACAGCTAAGACAAGTGCCACTCACCTCTCTTTGGTCTTTTCCAAAGCTTTCAGGAAAAACGAATCAAAACAACACAGACAAATAAGGGAAATATAGGAAATTCCGTAACTTCAAAGGAGAAACTCCATGTCTTTTTACCCAAACTCATGTAAAAACATGATGGCCACATGGCTTCTGCAGACAATTACACTCATTCAGGAAGTTTTTAATATAATTTCCTTCATGGAGGGTAACTTGGAGCTACGGAATGAAATCTCAAGAACACTGCACATCATGCACAAATGCATTGTGGGTGAGCCATCAAACCTGAAAAGGGAGGCTGAGGTCAACTGTGTCAAAGTCCTAAAAACCAGAGCAGCTGGCGCGAAGGTGCTCACCAATTACGGGCCTTCCAACAAGTCTCCACATCCAAAGACAGGTTACACGGGCATCAGGCTGACTTGATGACTTTACATGCCTAACAAGGGTAAAGTTCACTTAAAGTGCCAGGGATCCTTACAGAGATAACCTAGCTTGGAATGTAGAAACTCTGGTTTGACAAAGGTCCAGAGGCACCAAAGGCAGGTGAGGTACATTTGATCACTTCTAAAGGTTTCTCTGCCCTTGGTGTAGAGAATAATGTTTAAAAGACCCACTGAGAAGACTTCTGGTAAGATCTTCTGCATTCACACAATGAAAAATCGTTAATTGGGACTCTGAAAAGCATCATGAAAAACTCAATGCTGTCTTGGCAGTTCTGAAAGCTCAATGACAAAACCTAGTCTTAACAGGGAAAGGGGGCTCCAGGAACTGCAAACCACAGAAAGGTGTGTCCCGGTAAGTTAACTTTGTTGCACCCCACATAAAAGTTTGGCATCATCTGGTAAAGTGACGCACAACCTATAACTCAACAATCCCAGGACTCCAAGGCATATAGCTAAAGAAACTTACACGTTGGTACTAGTCTCTAGGAGTATGAATCTTATAGCATTGTTCTTAGTTAGCCCCAAACTGGAACAGCAAAATGCCCATCAACAGTAGCATGAATATACTGTTATATTCATACAATGGAGTACTAGACAGCACTGAAAATTACCTATGGATCTACACAAACTTACTATGAATGCAAAGCTATAAAATAACACAATGATTCCACTGATAGAAGCTCAACAACAGGCAAAGAAAAACTGTGTTGTTTAGGCATGCATACGTAGGTGGTAAAGAGATAAGGAAAAGCAAGAAAGTGAACATCATAAAAGTCAGTCTAGAAAGGGAACGATGCTCACTCAGAAAGGAACATGAGGTGCTGGAGGAACTCCTGAGGTACGGGCAGTTCTCTCTGTTTTTACCTGTTTTATTACTAATTACTCTCTAGGCATGTCCGTTGTGTGCACTTTTCTGCACATGCTGTATCGCCTAACGATTCATCGGTAACCCTGCAGAGGTTCACCCACTGGAACGGGGGCAGCTCGAGGCCGGTCCCCCTGGCCACTGCGGAAGGAAGGACAGGACCCGGGAACCGTCGCGGTCCCCCGGGCTGGCCGGCGCCGCACACCCACCCCCGCCTCCCGGGGCTGCGAGGTCCGCGAGGCCCGAGCAGGAGCGGCGGGCTGCCCTCGGCGACCCGAGCCCGCCACGTCGGCCTCACAGCGCCGGCGCCCGGGGTCTCCCGGCTCCCCGCGGAAGGCGCCCCGCCGTCCCGCCCAGGCCGGGGCCCCGCCGGCGCTCGGCCGCGCGTACCTCTGCACCGCGGAGGACACCTCGCCAGCTCCCGGTGATCGAGGGTACAGATTGTTTCCGGGGCTGCCCGCCACCCTCGCGGGCGACCACTGGCTGCCTCCTCCGGGCCAGGCGCGCGGGCACGGCGCACGCGCACTGCCGCGCTTCCGTGAGGGCGCGGCGGGGACCAGCCGGCGGGGAGCGCGCGGGGGCGACACGCAGCGGGCGGCGGGCGCGGCCGTGCGCAGTGCTGGGCTGCTGCGGCTCGGGCCGGGCCGGGGTCTCGGCGGGAGCGGGGCTGCGGGGCTGCGGGGCTGCGGGGCTGCTGGGCTGCAAGTCCGCGGGCGGGGCGGGCGCGCGCGGTGCCGCGCGGTCCCGGCGGGCCGGAGGAGGAGGGGCGCCGGTGACGCTGCGGGTGCCGCTGCCAGCTCCGGACGGAGTCGGCGGCCGGGCGGAGGACGGGCAGGCCGACCCTCGGACGCAGCCCCTGGCCGAGCCGCGGGCTTCCTGGCGAGGCAGGGCGGCCGCGAGCCCGGGCGGGAAGATGTTCAACGTGGAGTCCCTGGAGCGGGTGGAGCTGTGCGAGAGCCTCCTCACTTGGGTAGGTGGCGACGCGGTCCGGAGGCCCCCTCCCCCAGGCCGCCGTCCTGGGATCTCCCCGCGACCCGGGCGGGCGCCGAGGGCGCCGGTGCCGTCACATCCGGGGCCTGGGGCGGGGGCCGGGACGCCGGTGCGGGCTGAGTCCACGGCGGGAGGCCCGGCCGGGTCCGAGGGAAACTCGCGGGGCCCGCGGGGCCGGGCGGAGGCCGAGGACGGGTGCGGGCGGCGCTGTCACCAGGCGGCTCCCTGCGCCTCCGGGGGGCGGGGGGGGCACCCGAGACCCCGGCCCGACGCTGCCGCCTTTGTTGTCCCGCTCACCGGGACAGCGCAGCCCTGGAGGGCGAGCGGCGCGGGGCGCGGGGGGAGAGGGCTTGACGGGAGGGCGGAGGGTAGGAGAAGGACTCGCAGCCCGGCCTCCGCGATAGGAGAGGAGAAAGTGAGCGGTGTGGAGGTGCCTAGGGAAGGTGTTCGAGGTGAAAATAAGTCTGGAAGGTGTAGTGGGACTCGACATTTGGGGGGCAACGTTATGCCATTCTAATTTTAAATTATCAAATGCTTACTAAGATTCTCACATGTGCATGTAAATATGTGTTCCGTTCTAATGCCAACAATCGTGCCTTTAGCAGCCTCTTGTACAGGTGGACGTAAAACCCAAGCTTGTGTGTTCCCTAAGTGCGGTGTCAGTTCCTGGGTTGTGCCTGTGTGTGTATCTACGGGATAAACCTGGTGCTTCTTTGGGGAGCTTTCGTTTTACTCATTGCTAAAACGTTAAATACCAGTTTTAGAATGCAGCACTAATCTATTTAGGGAGGTGACTACAGCATTTGTATTAACGTGCAAGGTAAGACACAGATGCCAAACAGATTCAGTTTAGCGGTGCCTTGGGCGATAAGCTTAGATCCCTGGAGTACAGACATCACTGCCCTGTGTGGGGACATTTGGGTGGAATGCTTAGAGGACCTAGGCTGGTTGTAACAAACATAATGAAAATAGTCTGAGATTTTCATAATTTGGCTTATGTCACAAATCAAATTATGTTTTCTGAAACAGAATATGTACAAGGGTAGATAGAGCTTGATCTATTCAGTAACTTTTGTATTAGGGCATTCTTGGCATTTCAAATCGTTTGCAATAATATATAGTCAACATACAGCTTACAGCTGTAATGGGTTCCGACTTAAATGGGGAAATGGGTTCCCCTGCTGCATTTTAGAGAAGAGAAGAAACAGATAAGCTGCATAATGTGGCCAAAGTTTGACTAGGTAGGGGAGAGATAAAGGAAAGAATTACCACATTCTTTGATACTGTGGAAGGAATGGATTTGGCAGAGGTTGTAAACAGAAGATTGAGGATCTGAAGATATGCATTTTTGAGTCTGTACCTCCTTCAGTGCTAGAAAAAAAGGCAAGAGGGCAAAGATGAGGAAACATTGAATCTGAAGTAGGGTTACATTGTTTAAAGTCTAGAAAGACGAATCACGGAAACAAAGAGGTGTGTTTGAAGGGCATCTGCCAGAAGGTGGTGGTCAGTGCAGTTATTTGGGTGAGAAATGCTAATAAAAATACAGAGGAAGAATCACAGAGAGAAGTTTGAAGGGGTACTAACAGAAGCACACTATGGCCACATCTATTTAAAATCTGGTAAAATGTTAAGAAAATAGAGATAATCCAGGTTATCAGCTATAGAGAGAGGTCAAGAAATCTGCTTTTGTAGAAAAAAAGGCTTTTTGAAATTTCAGTGGAAGGCTCATCAAGGAAAATTTCTGGGTAAGAGATTATCAATGACAAAACTGGAGGGCAGAGTCCAAACAAAGATATACAATTCTAAAATTTGGAAACGTTTTAAAACGTTGTACATTGAAATGTTTCAAAATAAAGTTGAGGTTAAACGCTGGGTTTGTTCTGTTAGTTATAAAAAGCAGAATATCCCCTGTGCTCAGAACACAGGTGCGCCCCGCGAGGCCCCGGGTGGGTCCGCGAGGCCCCAAGTGAGTCCGCGAGGCCCCGGGCTGGCGCGCGCAGGATCTCGTGCCCAGAGGTTCTGACGCCCCACGAACTGTCCCACACCCCAATGCCAACGGTCGCCTCAGCGCCGTAAGCTTCACGTCTACAGACTTCGGGGCCGCCCAGAAGCCAAAGCCCGTCGAAGGTCTGACCCCGCTGACCCGCGAGCATGGGCAGCTACCTGAGCATGTACCTGGGCACGGCCAAGGCCACGCAGCCAGCCCACGCCCGGAAGCGCCGGTCCCCATGGTTCCCATGGACCGGGCCCGCCCGCGGCACCTGCCTCCCGATGGGCCAGGACGGGTGCCAAATCCTGAGCTACCGCCGCCGCCGCCAGGATCGCGGGCTCTGGTTCCGCAGCAGGCGGCCGCTCCCTGCCGCCCTGCGCAGCTGGAAGTACTACCCAGTCCGCGGGTCCTCGGTGCCCCAGGGCTGTAGGCGCCTTCCCAGCGGGCCGCCCCTCCGCACCTCCTCGGGGCTGGGGTTTTCCGGCCATGGCAACGGTTTCACGATGAGGTCCCAGTGGAACGCCCGCCTCTCCTGCCACACGCAGAGCCTGGTGGGCATCTGTACCGCCCCCGCTGAAAGCCTAAGCAGCTTGTCCACGTGTCCGCCCAGCCAGGAGTCCCCGGACCCCTGTGCCAAGGAGACCGCGCTGAGGGCCCTCAGCCGATGCGAGGAAGGACAAAGGAGGCTCGACGGGCCTCTCAGGTCTGAGACCCCCGAGCCCAGGCTGTCAGCCTTCCGGCCCGTGATGAGGAATGGAGTGGTCCCTGTCTTTGTGCCCAGGCCGGGGCCTCTGAGAAGAAGCATCTGCTCTGGGTGCAAGCGCCTCCGAGAAGAGGACACTGAGCCCCGGCCTGACCAGCAGCCCTGCCTGAGCCTTCCCTGCCTGCCGCCCGCCCTGCTGTGAGGCCCCCCCCACCCCCCACCCGCCCAGGGCACAGTCACAGAGCCTCGCTGGAGAGATGGGGGCAGATCAGCACTCCCGGGCCTGGGCCTCCTGCAGCCTGACGTCCCCCTTGAGTCCTGAGAGCCAAGGCCACCTCCTCCTGACACTCAAACCCACATTTCTTTGACCCAGCTGACCCCTGTCCTACCCCTGCCAGAGTCACTGGCACGGACCACCAGGCCAGCTCCCTCCACTCCAGCCAGGAGCTGCCGAGCCCCAGAGCCACCTCTCCTACCTGCAGAGCCCGCCCCGAGGAAGCACCGCTGACGTCCAGGCCTGCACTCCCTCCTGCCCACCCACCCTTGCTGCCTTTGCCCCTGAGAAGACCCTTCTCGGAGGACCCTTCTCAGGAAGGCGTGCTTCTCCCCTATTGCCCACTTCATACGGTTTAAAGGTTGTTCTTATTTTAAATAATACTAAAATAGCTTCATTATCATAAAAAAAAAAAGTTCCTCAGAATACTACTTTCATCCAAATCACTGTTCAAGAATACATGTTTTTTAATACTTAAAAAAAAAAGAAGAATAAATGTTCATGTGGAACGTGTCTGTGGTAGCTGAAAATGTGCATTCACTCTAGCAGCTCCCCTCATAGCTGAAGGCTAGATGAATGCTGAACACAATTCCAAAACCAGAAGTAAGGGGGGAAAATGTATCCTATACATTCCTAAGAAAGGACCCCCATTTAGAATAATTTGTTTTGCATAAAGTTCTAGCCAACTTGGTTGTGCAGTTTCTTTGCACCCAGCCGGTGAGAAGGTAACTGCCACATTCAGCAAAATGCAGGCAGCTGTCAGTGACAGAGAAGACCGGAGAGGTGAAGGTTCAGCCTGGGCAGTCTTTGAGCTGACAGCCTTGTATACGTCAAGAGCCTCCACATTCAGTTACCGAAGGTCATAATTATGATCCTGAATATCAAATAAAAGTTTATTTTCACTACACAGCATTTAGTTTGAGATTAGAGGTGTATAGTACATATTAGAAGTTCTTCCACCAGAAATGGTTAAAATAACAACTCAGGCACTTAGAGGGATGCCTGTTAGCCACCTATGCAGAGTTCATTTCTGTGGAATATCTCAGTGTCCCAAATGCTGGATAAATTGCTAGTATATCAGAAAGGTTACTAGCCCAAGAACCAGATGTTCCCCATTTTTGTTGAAAGAGGAATGCTTGTTAAGAGACAAAGTATCATCCTACCAAGGGAAAATGGTTTAAGCTTAAATTCCGAATCAAAGTTTATGCAGTAAGTAAGCTCAGCAGGATGTGCTGGAAAGTTTCCACTCTTAACCTCTCTCCCCACCCTCTGAGACAAAATGTACTCTTACCTGTTAGAAAAAATCTGTCCTAGGGCTTCCCTGGTGGCACAGTGGTTGAGAGTCAGCCTGCTGATGCAGGGGACATGGGTTCGTGCCCCGGTCTGGGAAGATCCCACGTGCCGCAGAGCGGCTGGGCCCGTGAGCCATGGCCGCTGAGCCTCCGGAGGCAAAAATCTGCCCTACACCTGTCAAGCCTAATTTCTTGAATGGTACGTGGGAAGATTGCTCTTTCCTAGGTTTAAGAGACTGAAAAACCAGAAAGAATCTGGAATGTCGCCAACTAATGGCAAGAAGCTAAGTGGAGCAAGACTCATGACCACACAGGTTCAGTACATTTCTTCTGGGAAACCCAGCAACATTAACATATCCTTGTAATTTTCATATTTAGCAGCCTGTAAAATGGCATGTTGGTGTTTACAATTAGGGAGAGTGTAATTTTTGGGGTGGTATCTCCCCCATTCCATTCTCTCTGTCCTTCCTAACTCTTAGGTCCTCTAATGGAGGAATAAAGGAATCAGATGTACAAAAGCATGTATATTTTTTAAAGCTTTAATTTTTTTTCTTTTTTCAACTGAGGGCCAAGTTAAGAGTATAGGTTCTGAAATTTGACCACCTGGGTTCAAATCCTGACTTTGCTTCCTGCTAACTGTGGGTAGCTTTGGACAAGAAACTTCACCTATGTTTTGATTGCATTCAGTTTAACACTAAGAAATGTTTCCTATGCATTAGTATTGATCAGCATAATTGGAGGGCTCGTTAAAATGCTGACTGCTAGGCCCCAATTCCAGAGTCTGTAATTCAGTAGGGCTGAGCTAGGGCCTGATAGTCTTCATTTCTAACAGGTTTCCAGGTGGCACTGTTAGTGGCCTGAGGCCTACACTTTGAGAACCATGGCTCCAGAGCAAGGTTTGTTAACCTTAGCATTACTGACATTCTGGGCTGGATCATTTTTGTTCTGGGCACTGCTCTGTCATCCTGGTCTCTACCTACTAGATGCCAATAGCACCCACTTAGTTGTTACAACTAAAAATGTCTCATAGGGAGCAAAATTGCCCCTGGTTGAGAATCACTACTCTAGAGATAGTAATTCCAGGTGATCTCATGCATTACCCTTCTCATGCTTTTGTGGGGGAAGGTGAGGTGGAAGTTGGATGGTGTTAATAGAGCTCCTTGGAATTAAAAGAGAGGTTATGACCCTTCCAGCAGCGTGTCATGCCCTAATGTGGTTAAGTGCAATTATCTTTAAATTTTACTCTACTTATTGGGCTTCCCTGGTGGCGCAGTGGTTGAGAATCCGCCTGCGGATTCGAGGCACGGGTTCAAGCCCTGGTCCAGAAAGATCCCACATGCCGTGGAGCAGCTAAGTCCATGTGCCACACAACTCCTGAGCCCGTGCTCTAGAGCCTGCGAGCCACAACTACTCAGCCTGTTCTGTAGAGCCTATGAGCCACAACTACTGAGCCTACACTCTGGAGCCCGCATGCTACAACTACTGAAGCCTGCACGCCTAGAGCCCGTGCTCCACAACAAGAGAAGCCACCGCAATAAGAAGCCCGCGCACTGCAACAAAGTAGCCCCTGTGTGCAGCAACGAAGACCCAAACACAGCCAAAAATAAATAAATAAAATAAGTACATTTAAAAAAAATTTTTTTTTTACTGCTGTCCTGAAACACCCTGGAGATTTTAACTCAGAATTTATGAGAACTGGTGATAGATTTTTTAAAAAATTAAAATACACATACCATAAAGTTCTTTTAAAAGTGCACAATTCAGTGCTTTGTAGTATGATCGCAGGTCATGCAGCCATCACCACTAATTCCAAGAACATTTTTATCGCCTCAAAAGGCAACTCCATAGAGAGAGTTTCTCTGGGATCTGCTTTACTTTTATCTCAAAGCAGAGGTGGACATCCTCTAGCCTTCATGAGTGACTATTTACCTCAAGAGCCAATTCAGAGAAAATAATTGTTTGGAAGCCACATTTAAAAAATCAAAATGAAAATAGTTTTAAGTCCCAAGAGAGAAACAGATGTAGTCTTACAAGTAAATTACTTGCATTATTGAATTACCTGCTTTATTGAGCTTTTCCTTATGCTTGGCCAGAGGCAGTTTTCTGATCTTTCATCCTTTACATTTGGTAGTGGGTTTGGATCAGAACCCTTTGGATCAGAGGGTTCCAAATGCCAAACCAGTGCCCCTCCACATAGCATTATTTGATGAACTTGTTAAAAATAGAGTCCCAGTCTTCTTCAACTTCCCACATGTTTTGGGTGTACACCCAGGTCTGGGAACTACTGTTTAAGACTTTTACAAATACGTAATGCCCATTTATTTTCTCTTTAAGCAACACACCCCTCCATAAGGTATTTTTCCCAATTTCTAGATTGAAAAACTGACATGAAATGAGGTAAAGTGGCATATCCAAGGTCACACAGCCAGCAGATTAGGAGCAAAGCTGGGGATGGAGTTAGTTTACACGCAGAGCGTGTTCAGTGAGGGCTGTTCTGGGCCAGGTTGGTGATCAAGAGATGAGTGAGGTGTGGCCCTCACCTGTGCTCTTTTTCATTCTAAGCCTACAAGAAAGAGATGAATTCAGCAACTGTAAAACGAAAGTGGGTGCTTATTTCTTTTCAAACTGCATTGTTATTACCACAGTATCATTGACGAGGCGACTGGAGAGAGTGTGGAGTGAAATTCAGTATCATTTCCTACAGATGATGTTTATTTGGTCCATTTATTCATTTACTAACGATTTATTGAACCTCTGCATGTATAAGGTTAGTGTTAGGGGGTAGCCTGCAAGGGCCCTCTTTTCATTACCTCTCCCGAGTAGACACCTAGGTAGAAACCACCTGCTATGCGATCTTTAAGGCCATTTCCTTAGTTCCTGCCACCATAACCATCTCTACCTACAAGACTGTCAAGAATGTGAAGAAGCTGCTGACAGCACTTGTTAATAGTTCTTTTTTTAAAGATTTGATAGATGGCACGACACAGAAGTGGACGCTCACCAACTGTTAGTAAATTGCTACAGCACTTGTTCAGGGCGGTTTGGCAATATTTATCAAAAACCTTAAAACGTTCATACGCTTTGATCCAGCAAGTTTACTTCTAGGAATATAACCCTGTAAGTAAAAATGTATTGAAGGTAGATGGTCCCCTGACCATTATTTGCTGGGTTTCCATTGTCATTACCTAGTTTGACCTCATGTGTTAACATACAAACCTATTAACATAGGTCTCCCTGCCTATTCCCTGCAAGCCTTTCTTCATACTGCAGCTGCTGTGATCCTTATACGATGCAGATCTCATGGCCTCACCCTCCTGCTTAGAATCCTTTGCTTTCTCTCCTTGCTCTGAGGATGAAGTCCTAATGTGACTTGAGAGGTTTTGCACAACGATGCTTCCTTCTTTAACCCTGTCTTTCCCCGTTCTACTCTCTTCCCTGTTATATCTCTTCTTCTGATTCCCATACTCCTCCGTTTACAACCTATAAACTGCAGAGCATGGCTTGCGTCTGTCTATTCTCAGTGATTTATTGCCTTCTAAGTCCTGGTTGTGCTACTGAGTAGAATCATTGCTGGCTCTGCTGTATTATTATCTTGCTCAGAAATAATTTCTACTAATTCTCAGCCATGTTATGTTAGTTCTGATTCATAATACATTTAAAATCAAAATGAACTGAATATCTAACCTAACTGTGTGATTTCTACATCTGTATAAAGATATTTTGGTTCTGAGTAAAAGAAATCTCAGCTTGGCCAGGCACAAAGAAGAAATGTATCTCACATAATAGGAGGCCTCAAGATTTTTAGTTTAGTGGCTCACTTTTGGCCTCAAGGACCCCGTTCTTTCTGTTCCTCTTCTCTGCCATCCACTGCATGGGCCTCATCCTAACAGTCAACAAGATGACTGCTCGTGGCAATTGAAGCAACCAGCATGTTTATTCACACCAAGGGGAGGTTGGCTTTTCTTTCCCGGAAGCCCAAGTAAGCCTCTGTTTGCATCTGTTTGGTCCAAATTGTCTTTGCCTGTGCACCCATGAGCCAGTCACTGATAGAGGGGTTGACGGTACCGTGACTTTCTTAGATGATTATCTGTGAGGAGGATGAATGCGGGGAAGCCGCCCAGTGTCCATCACCTTCTCTCTTTTACCAAAAGGAAAAAATTGCAATAGCAAGCTGCGGGAAACTGCCCGTGAGGGAAAACATTTCACAGTGTTCTGCTTTTCAAAACTTACTCAACTCCCAAGATGAGGCAGAAGTCTAAGAATTTTTCTATATGGTTAACCATGGAATCTTTTTTTCCTTTTTTTTAATTTCCTTTTTCCAGATCCAGACATTTAATGTGGATGCACCATGCCAGACCGTGGAAGATTTAACGAATGGGGTTGTGATGGCCCAGGTTCTCCAAAAGATGTAAGAATAAATTGCTTTATCTTTTTGTATGTTATTATACCTGGATATTTATTAGATTGAAAACATGGACAAAAAAATAAAGTGCTCTCATGAAACACGTGTTGCGCGGAGACCGAGAACTGAGCAGCACAGGTGGTTCTGGCAGCCTGCGCTTGTTTAGGTACAGATGGACCGGCTGCAGGGGTAGTTAGGGCTGCAATTGCTGCAGTAATCCAACGGTTTCAGCAGAATTCTTTCTTCCTGTGGTTTTCAGTGTAAGCTTGGCAGACATTTTCCTGTTAGCGTCCAGATTTTGCCATCATAGAAGGATCTGAGAGGTTTACTCTGTCTTTAGGGCTCTACTCAGACATTGTCTTACCAGCAAGGCCCTCCCTGCCCACCCCTAGAAAATAAGCGATAGCCATGCCCTGTGCTCCGTTTCCCTTTTAACCTTCCATATGCTTCTCAGAAGTAGGTAACACCATATCATATACTATGTATTTTGCTTGCTTATTTGTTACCTGCTGCTTCCCCCCACACCTGTCTGCAGACAGACAGACAGACACACACACACACACAGACAGACAGACACACACACACACACACACACACACACACACACACAGTGTAAGCTCCACCTAGAGGCAGGGTGAAAACATAATAGTTGTAAAATTGATATTGTATGGCTGTCTTCAACTTTTGACCTAGGAATTTTTCAAATAAAGGATTACCTGTGAATTTAAGATGTCAGTAAGTTTGATGTGATTTGGGGGATACTTTTGTCTTTTGAAGCCCTGAGCCCTTGTCAGCCTGAGACACTAAAGAATTTACATGGGACTTGCTGAGATTTCCTGCAGCTCTATTGAGAATCAGTATCATCGCTAAAGGATTCTTGCCATTGCTCCCCTTGCAGTGAGCTGTGTAGAGCTGCCCGTCTGGAAGCTTCTCAAATGCCTGCATTTCAGAGAATCTACCTGCCTTTCACACTGGCGGTTCATGCTTGAAAACTATAGCTTGCTGTACCTTTCTTCTGCACCTTATATCTCTCTGCACATACAGGCATGCAGACTTTCTGGCAGAGCTCAAGAAGGCTCGCTTGAAACTGATCAGCCCGGGTTCTAGCACAGAGAAGAGCGGGCTTGTGATTTTCGTG